TTAAAAAAAAAAAAAAAAAGGTCAGTTGTTACACAGAAAGTACTGAACCAAAGAGAAATAGTAACTGGTTTTATTAACTTCCCTAACTAAAGCTCTAAAGTTTTGTTGATTGGAGCCTGATTTCAAAAGTTAACTTTTTAATTTGGAACACTAGGACCTACTGGTTCCAGGAAGTTATAGTAGAGGTCAAAAGATTGCTGGAGAACTGATTTTTCATTTCTAATAAAGGAAGTCTTGCCCTTTTTCTTGCAAAGACAGACCTTGAAGTATTAGTAGGGAAAAAAAGAATGTATCCATCAAAGGCTCTCCTGGTGAGGTTATACAAGGCTAGTATACAAAGTTATACAGTATGGGAGCCTGCAGAACCTGCTGATGCTTGGGATGAAATGAGCTGGACTTCTCTTGCAAAGTCCAGCAAGGCAGAAAGACTCAGTAGCTGCTGCCTGACCTAGCATTAGAGAGACCAGCTCCTTAATCCATCACAGATTTTCTGGGTAACTCTGAATGTGTCACTTAGCCTTAGTTCTGCACCTGGAAACGAAGATAAATTCTCTCAACTTCCCTTACTGTGACATGAAAATAAACACATTAAACCAGAAGGCATTCAAATAGCTTGGCAATGAAGTACAAGTACTGCAGACAAATAGGAAATAACAAAGTGCTGCCCCATTCAGCAAGGAGATGCCCATTCTTTTTCCAAATCCTTCTTGCCTGCTGGGATCCTGCAACGCTTTCGTGATCCTCCCTCAAACAAAAGGGAGGTTCATAGGGCAGAGGAAGCAGGGGAGGAAAAGTGCCTTACGCTTTCCCACCCAGTGCAAGTTTACACGTAAAAGACACCAAGGCACCAAACTTTCTCCTGTCAGCCTTCTGCTCCAAACAATCAAATTTAAGAGGTTATTTTTCTTAGACATTTAGCAGAAAGGTTATTCCGAAAAGAACTCAGAGAGGAGAGGCCTCACTTGGCTGCCTTGGACTGTCCCCAGGAGGACCACACCTCTTTCCTCTGACTACACACAAAGCCACTGAAGACCACCTTAATAATAACTTGGGCAACCTCAATCTCAAGGGGCTGCCCCAGCTCGGGATGCTGGGAAAGGCTTGGCAAGCCTGCCAGCATCAAGGTTGATCACCTTTACTGGAGGGGGAAAACCTGCCCCAAATTTACCTCCAGAAAATTTATCCCCAAACTGGGGGATATTTACACAAGATAGCTGGTGAGAGAACTTCGTGAGGACTCTTCTCATGGGGAAAAGGTTTTATTTACTATGCTCTAACAAGACAGGATTTGGTTTATGATAAGGATGTGTTTTCCAGAGAGCTTCAAAGGAAAAGAATAAATTTTTAAAAGGTGCCTGTATGTGGGATAAAAGACACTTACCATGTAAAATGCTGCTGTAAAAAATCCAAAACAAAACAAGCGCTGGAAAACATTACAAACAAAATAGTGGACAGTTGTACAGTTTTTCTAACAGTTGTGTACAGTGAAAAGGATTACAAACAGAATGAAATGTTCCTTGATTAAAACAAACTGATATCCCACCTGGAAAATCCTGGCCAGGCTCTCATTGTTCCCGAGTGACCCGAGGGCAGCCACAGGTTACAGCAGAGCCCATAAGTCACTCAGACACCCTGCCTGGCTCTTCCCAAGTTCTCTCTCTCAGGAACAGCAGGACCAGCTAAAGAGCCCTTTGTTTCCATTCAAACATATGCAGGGGTGGAAAAGCTGTTCAAAACATTAAAGAGAAACAACTGAGGACTGTTACTATTCCAAGAAACAAATTAAGAGCCAGAGTCTGAAATGCCTGGAGCGCTGGCAGTGCCAGCTGAAGTCAGATGTCACTGGAAATGCTCAGCATCGCTCAGACCCTGGGAAGGGGGCAACCAGTCCCACCAAGCCTGAGGATTTAAAAATCAGTCTCCCTCAGATGTATTTTTTATGTTATACCTTTACTTCTGACATTGATAACATACTGATAATACAATAACATACATTTTACAAAGAGAATAATTAATTTGTTTTATAGGCAGCTCATCAAAAGGATGAAACACCTCCCAAATTCAGCTAATAGCTAGCAAGCCATTTCCCCTTTAAAACATTAATGCTGGCAAGTAAAGCAAGGCAAATGACAAGCTATCTCAGAGTTCCTGCATTGTAGGGTTTTGTGTCAAATAAGCTGGTAAAACCCATAAACTGATGGAAAATCAATTCAGATCTCAAATAATACATTAAAACTTTCTAAAAAAAAAAAAAATAAAAGCTGCACTTCAGATAAATAAACTTTTATGCTCTCTTTAAGTTCTAGAACTGTTTTTTCAGATTAAAAAACTTTGCGTTACTGGAATATTTTGAATTTCTGCATTAATTAACACATAAGGACCAAGGAGAACTTAGCATTTTCCTACCTCAGGCTGAGGTTTATTCAGGCTTAATTCAGACTGCACCAGTAGATTTGGCTACAATTTTCCTCACATTTTCACAGAGGCTGGCTGGCAACATGTACATTATGAAAACAGAAGAATAAGCAGATACCCATGTCAGATAAATACATTCCACTCCCTCAAACTGAACTCAAAGCAGACACAAATCCGTTTTTCCCCTTTCCAAATGCTTCCCACTCCTTTGGTTCTGCCATTGGAGTGAACACAACATTTCTTGCCACGTCAGCCCCTGACTACATCCCACTGTACCTTCCCAGGCCACACACATACTTTGCTTCTTCTACCATAATCTTTTCTAGGAAACATATTGTCTTCTACTTCAGAGACTCATCTGTTCCCAGATAATCGTCTCCTGCCCCCGTGACTCCCAAGTCACTCCACTAATTCATTTGGGCCACCCAAAACCAAGGTGCTGTCTGAGATTGCTGCTGCCCATAAATACTTCTTTCAAGTTACCTCTTTTCCTCTAAAATACATTGACCAATTTTCAGGTTTTAGCTTTATTTTCTAAATTTCTCCCAAATTTCTTCATAAGACTTGTATAACCAACACAATGCCAATAAATGCTTTGAACTCAGTAAATCTACTTAGCAGTGTATATAAATCTTGAAGTGTAACAAATACTGCATGTCTTGTACATTGTACAGCCTGTTTCTCATCTTTGCATGCCAACCTCTCCTGGCTTCTCCAGAAGACCAAAATCAACTGCAAGCTTATCACCCTGATAGGCTTCCCCATCTTCATCCTTGCTAAAGCATCCTGTCACACACCCATCCTCTACACTTGCTTTCGGTCCCTCTGGACCAACGGCCATGGGAACACATCTGCCTCCAGCAGCGTATTCCTGCATTGACAGATCTAGGCTGGAAACAAATATAATACATTGGTAATGATCATCATACCATGTATCTGTGGAGGCTTGAACATACTTTAATTTCAAAGGTCAGCAACATTCACCTGTGACTTTCAGGTTTTCAAGTTTCTAATGGAAAGATAAGATCCAGAAAAGGAACTTCTATTTCAGCGTTCAGAATCTATAATTTATTTATTCAAACTAAAAAAAACCAACCCCAAAACAAAAACCCAAACAGCAGAACACAGGTGGAAGCTGAACTTGCTCTCCTGAAGTAACACAGTTACATTCTTAATACCAATTACAAAACCAAGTTTAGTTAAGGGGATTGTTAAGAAAATCAGCACTGACAAAACTGAGCCATGCAGTCCTGCACTGTCACCTCTTGGTTCCCCGGTGGCACGGTCACCGTGCAACTGAAGATGGAGTACTCTGTGATATCCTTACAGAAAGGCAGAGTCTACCTCTGCAGTCTTATTCATACTTTTCTTCTAGTATTCTGTGTGAAGTATCACACAGGGTATTACCTCCACATAATGAAAAAATGAATTTAGATATTTATGAGGTGTCAACCAGAGCAGTCATATGTTGCACATAACTGAGATACATGCTGAAATACTCTTAAAAAAGGATATAATACAAGCAGAGGATTTGCTTGCTAGGAAAGTTAGCCACACTTGCTGTGCAGATGGCTGCTACACTGCAACGTATCTGTTTCCCTCTTACAGCTGACGCTGCTTCAAATGTCTTTTTTATCAGTGCCATCGGGGGGGAAAAAGGGACTTGCATGTTATGGCTAGGCTATCATTCAGTAGTATCAAGTAAATTACTCTGAGTAAATAAATTACTTTCAAAATGTGACACAGACATAAAAAAAATACTGGCAATGCTTTTAAATCAACACTGTCTTTATGGTAATATCTTTATGACAGAGTTATATTATTCCAAGTTCATACAGACTGTACATTAGAGAAGACCAGTGTAATGGGTAAGCCTTCCTTTTAAATCCATTATTCCTGCAAAACCACTTTTTTTAAAAAAACATACAAATGCAATAACCACAACATTATCAAAAAGCACTTTTATAAAACTGAATGTAGTTTCTCAAACTAAAAAAAAAAAAAAAATCTCAATTTTAAAAAGAAAACTAAGCCACTCAACTGCTAAAATATAGAATGAGAGCATCAATCTAGAAAAAGCATTAAGCAGAATACTGATGATATGCACACAGCTTTAAAGCAGAGAAGAACTAAGATAACACAGAAGTAATAGTTTGATACTAAACTCCAAATTCCAGCAAATGAAACACAACATAAAAGAAATAAAATATGAATCAAATAAATGTGGATGTTCATCAGTATTTAAAGCTTACACAGATTTTAAGGAGGTTCTACAAGACAAAAATAGGGATGGTGTAGAGCAAGAGTACTCACTTGCAAATCTGGCCTGTGTGCAATCCCACCTCCAGCCACTGACTTCCTGTATGATCTTTGAGCAAATTTCTGAATTTATCAAATGCCTTTTTCCCCAAAACTAAAACTTGAGTGATACTGTCCTTCCTGCAAACATTAAAAGAAGGAAATCCAAGCATCTTGAGGGAAAACCCACTGGAACTCTAATCTGCTCTTTAATGCTGACACTGCAGGACACTTGAAGTTAATTTATTTGTTGTTTAAAAAAAACAAAACACACACAAAACCACACACTAGAAACAGGTAATACCTAGCAAAGCAAAAAAGAAAAAGACAAGTGCAATTTTATACTAGATGAAAAGACTGAGAAAGAAGAAATTTAGAGTTCTTGATGGGAGGCAGAGTGACATAGCTCCTCAAATATTAAGTATTGAACATTTAGAAAAATTTGACTTAAACCACAGGAAGAACTCCCATTCACTTCTTTATATAAAACCAACAGTGACAAAGGTAGCCCCCAAACACTTACCTTTTCAAATTTGGAAACAAGGTCTAACTGGAATAGTTGACTTGCTAAAAGTATGTATTTTATTTATTTTTATTTTTTAAATATGAAAGGATACGAGGAGTCCCTTCTGTCCTACACACCAGGTAGAGACATGCAGCAATCACGTGAGTCATCTTTCTCCCCCGAGTTAGGTGTTTGCTCACAGCCATCTTGAAAAAATTAAAGGCAGTATCCAGACAATGTTGATTGAGTTGGAGCTGGTTTCCCAAGTGGTGAATCTGGCGTTTCCCTAGAAACATTAACAAGAAGAAGAAAAAAAAAGCTTAATAACTTTGTACTTAAAGTGCTTTTGGGGTGGTTTTTTTGTGGTTTATTTGGTTTTATTTATTTTTTAAGACAAAACATGAGGGGCAGACTTTGGATTTCATCTCTGTGTGAAACAACAGCCTCTCAAGTTTCAGGAACTACATATGCTCAGCTCCTCAGAACAAAAAAATGCCTCCTTTGGGACCGAAATTCACACAATCAATGAGCCCTGGAAAACAAAGCCACAAACACCAGCCCCAGAGAGCCTCCAAAACACTGCCAAGCCTTCTCCACCAAAAGATTATGCCCCCCTCCTTTACGATAGCTGGACAATTAGCACTTGGTTAACTGTAGTGATGAACTTCTGAAAAGCGGAGGTCATGGCGTGTTCCACACCGATGTGCAAGCAGAGAAGACGTTTTGCTGCAGCTCCCCAAGATGAAGCTTGCAGTTCCTCTGAGCACAGCAACAGCCCACAAGAGGAGCCCTGCGGGGCTTGCCCGTGACCACCACCGACGGGAGCCACTTCCTTCCCCAGAACGCTTTCGCGCCCGCGCCTCCTGTTAAGGCTTGGCTGCCAGACTGCCGACATCAGTTTGTGGCCTCAGGAAGGCAAATGTGCCTTCACCCTTAAATAAAGGTTCTGGACGATTCACGGCAGGAAGTGGTACAGCTGCTGGGACAGATGCAGGAAGCAAGGTCTGGTCCATCCTCACCGCTTCAGCTTCGGTTTTTTTTCGGAAGAGCATGTCGAAAAGACAAGAAAAAGATGGGGGAAGTCCTGAGGAAAACAGAGCACTGAAGTTCCTCAGCATACGAGGTCAGACAGCACATCAAGAAAAATCCTTTAATTCAATGTGCCGGGCAGATGTTTCCAGTATGTGCATTTACAGGAAACACTTGGTCTGTTCCCCTCAGAGATGACATGAGCAGCTTTGCTGAAAAGGACACAGCTCCTGTGCCATGTGCCACCACCACTATTGCTTACAGAAAATTATTTTGACCAAGCAGTGCTTCCAGAACACCACCAGCACCTGTACAGACCACACATACTGATTTTACACACATCCCTACAACATCATCACTAATAACACAGTAAATCTGCATAACCTCCAAACAACCTTCTGCCAAAAACATTACTGCAATTTGGCTTTCATAAAAACCGACTCCAGACACGCAGCCAGGGTCAGCAAGACTCCAGCCAAACAGGGGCTGCCACAAAACAACAGCTTCTCCTTCCTGCACAAGTGGCAATTAGGGCACTCACCAACGAGATCTCCTTTAAGGCACCTCGGTCAACCAGGTGTAACACAATAATGACAGAGGAAGGACACCTTACGTTCTGCAGGAGGTGTGGGTACAATAAGCCACTTGAGTAATCCAAAGCCCATTAAGTGAATAGTTTTTCCATGGCCACCAGCATGCCCTGGACTGGTGCTCATCAGCCTCAGGCTCCCAAATACAAATACTGCATAGTCCCAAAATTAGGATAGTAACCAGTGCTCCTCCTCCCTTGAACTTTATTTCCAACTCCACAATCTGAATGCTGACCTGGGCACAGGGATTTCCCTGTCCCTAAGAACAAGTCGGTTTGTTCTCACTGGGGGCGGGGGGAATTTCCTACCCCTGCGGGCTAAAACTCGTGTTTGCAGTGGCAGCACAGCGGCATCCCCGATTGCTCCCCTACCCAAGCAAGTCCACCCCAAGGGCCAGCATGGACCAGTGAGGCTTTGGAAAGCCACCTCTTCCTATCACGTAAGCCTCCTATTTTATCTGGTTATATTTTGCCACATAGGGCTGCTGAGATGAAGACAAAGCAGCAAATGAGTAACAATCCCTTTAAATAAGATGGTGCAGTTCAATGTCCTCGAAGTCACAAAGGCAGCTGGTAACAAGAAACAATTTCAGCAGTTTTAAGTGCTGTCAGAATTTTGCTTTCAAGTAAAGCTTTTGTAAAACCAAAGAGAACAGTGGCTCCTATGCCATAGAACAGCCGTATGCACTCCTGGACACTTTGTGGGCTACTGGTGGAACCAGTATGCAGGACCAGGCTGGTGTAGGCCACCAGGCAAGAGGAGGTGATGTGGAAGCTTCCCATGCTACCAGCATGCCAGCAGCTGATGTGGTCCTGAGCACACACCATAGAACAGCCCAAATGAGCTGGAGATGCAGAGTAAGAGCAAGACAAGCACCCATGAGACTTCTCCATCAGGACTCCCCATGCCCATCTGCATTATGAGGTTATCCTCCTCCCAAGAATGGAACCCTCATTCAGGGCTCCACACCTCCAAGGACACTTCAGAAACAAAAGATACACCAGAATAGGAAAAAAGTAACAATGAGGAAGCAATTTGAAATTAATTTCTTTCATAAGCTATTTTTCCCACTGATCTGGCCACATCCCCAAGCTACCATGAAAATTCCGAGTATTATTTAACATTTTCTTAATTTCAAATGTTGAAATATAATTCATCTTAATCCATCCTAGACAAACAGTACAATTGTATGAGCAATATAAGCTTTTTTAGCTGAGCTCTTCATACAGTATCAATATTTTTAAATGCAATTACTTTAGGGGTGACCAGTCATTGTCATTACTGACAAACACCAAAGAGATCTAAGAGCACAGAAAGGTACTTGTCCACTTAGGAAGTGCTATTTCTTTGAATGTTTTGGTCTTCAGCAGACCAGTAAAGGCTTTAATTCTCTGTGCTAGCACTCCCTCAAGCTGCTTTGCAGTATTATGTCAGTCATATAGTTTGTGGAAAATAACTGTTACACTGATGTCAATCCCCACAATGAACAACTTACAAGCACCTTGTTACAAGAACAAGAAGCACCTCAGAAATTATGACTAACTTGTTTTGTCCTTATCTGCTACAAGAGAAAAAGCAATGTGCTGCTTATAGCATCATCTAAGATAAATATTTACATTCTGTAACCAGTTCCTTATTTTAGTAAAGAAAGATCAAAAGCTTTGTTGCTGCCTCACCACCCCCATCCTCCCACCCCTTGAATTTAACATGATAATAAAATTATATTTTTCTAATATCTTATGTAACACCACCAACAACAAAAAGTTGGAACAGTTAGCATTAGCACTTGTGCTTCTAGATTTCTCCACAGGGAACAAGATACCTTGCACCCTTTCTGGATCCTTCAGAGCCTCAAGAAGCACCTCCATTCCCAAGGAAGCCCCCAGAAAGGCAGGAATCAGCTAAAGGGCTGTTGTGCCAGCACTGCAGTACAGGACCAAACCGCTGTGCAGTGCCCCCACCCTGGTCAGATGACAACCAGAAGCCTGTAATTTTGTGATTTCCAACCTTTTCTGACAATCTCATCGATCTGATGTTTCCAGAGCTGAAAAATGTCTCTGTAATAGTTTAAGTATAAACATAGCAATTTGATCTGTTGGTATCTGAAAAGTTAATGTTCATACTTAGAGAAATGGATCCTAAGAATATAACCGATCAAAATAAATTCTCTGTCCAATACTCCAGTTACTGCTGACAAAGAAACATGAACAGAGACCAAGTGCCCACTGATACTGCCAGTCCTCAATGTGAAAATTCCTCCTTGTCAAACCTTGCTGAGCACACAGAGAGCTTCCTACACAAGTGACTGCTCCCCCAGCAATACAGGCAGTGCAGGGGGAAGCTGCAAAGCAGCTACAAGCTCCAGGCTCATTCCAAGATGGGCAATTCCCTCCAGCGAACCTACTACACTACATCTATTGGCCCTTGAATGTACTCCCACTCCCACTGCTCCTCACTAGCTGGGTGGCATTTTATAGCCTTCCATTTGCTGTTTACCTCCTGACTGTCTCTGTCATTTGCTCTAGACTGCCAGCATGGCTTCAATCAGCCCTGAGGTTGGCTAATGCCCTTTCTGCCAGTTTGACCATATGGTTCCAGCTCTCTGCAAGCATGCAACAAGCCTTATGATCTCAGCCAAACCAGTGGGAATATCCAACATTACCAGGCAATTTATTAGCAATCTGCTCAACTCCGTATTCACCAGATTACATTGCAGAGTTATGAACTCAAATGAATTGAACTGCTCTACTGGATGGAAAAGAACAGAACTGCCACACCTTTTAAACCCTGCCATGCTCTGGATTACAAAACAAAACTCAAGACAACAGCTTTCTCACTTTCTTATCCATTTTATCCAGTAGAACAGGTTTTTAAAAACCTTGAGTGGGAACACTACTCTAAAAACTTGTAACTTCTCTCCCAGCACTATAAAGGAATATAAGCATGTGGAACAGTCAGAAATAGCTAGTGATTTTTTTTTTTTTTTCTAAATTGCTAGGTGAGAGTACAACATATAAGACAAAATATACAGGGGTAACCCAAGTCTCTTAGTAGGTGCATCTTTTATTAGTGCTTGCAGTAAGAGTTGCCTCTTTGGGGCCTTACAGTTTGACTCTTTCTAAAGCAAAAGAAATAGAGCCTTTAAGGTCAAAGCTTACACTTCATGCTGCCCTTGCAATTTAGTGATGGCATTAAAGTGGTGTCTAAGTAACTCTGGGAAAAGGACAAGGAACGGCATCTTTCTAAAAAGGCAGAGCCAGCTCATCAGTAAGATTACAAAAATCCTCCTCCTTCCCTCACCAGTAAAACAGTAAAATTCTTCTCCTTCAAAGAGCTAAAGAACAAAATTCTAGAAACTACAGATATTTTGCAATGTATAGGATATATACCAGGCAGTTCTCATTTCTTCCTCAAAGACTCATCAACACCACCAGCACAGAGGGGGAAGCAGGGGGACAAGAGAGGAAAAAAAAAAAAAAAGGCAGCTTGGACTTCTGTAAGCAACACATAAAATCAAGTTCCCAGGCTACCAAGCAGTAAAGTTTATCACGCTCCTCAATCTACACTGAAAAACAAAAGGCTCTTTTCAGTTTTTAGTTCCAAGTCCACTAAAAAAAAAAAAAGTGTTTCTACCCATCTACTCCCAGCATGCTGAAAGAAACAACAT